AGGCTGGAGTGCAATGGCGCGATCTCGGCTCACCGCAACCTCCGCCTCCTGGGTTCAGGCAATTCTCCTGCCTCAGCCTCTTGAGTAGCTGGGATTACAGGCACGCACCACCATGCCCAGCTAATTTTTTGTATTTTTAGTAGAGACGGGGTTTCACCATGTTGACCAGGATGGTCTCGATCTCTTGACCTGGTGATCCACCCGCCTCGGCCTCCCAAAGTGCTGGAATTACAAGCTTGAGCCACCGCGCCCGGCCCAAAATAAATGTTTTAAATTTGACATTGAGACCAAAGAGCCCCCAGTTCTGGAGTCAGCCAGACCTGAGTTCCAGCATCTGCTCCTCCCCTACCAAGACTTTCAGCCAAGTACATCACATCTCTGAGCCCCAGTCTCCCCATCTAAGAAACAGGCTGGAGCTGGTGAATCTCTCAGGGGTTGCCAAGGATTACATGAAATGAGATCATTCATGAAAGCGCATGGGGCTGTGTGTGGTGGTGCATACCTGTAATCCCGGCACTTTGGGAGGCCGAGGCAAGAGAATTGCTTGAGTCCAGGAGTTTGAGACCAGCCTGGGCAACATAGGAAGACCCTGTCTCTACAAAAAATAATTAGCTAGGGTGGTGGCACATGCCTTTCGTCCCAGGTACTTGGGTGGCTGAGGTGGGAAGACTGCTACTCAGTCAGGGGTGGGAGAGGAAAGGGGACGAGAGGGAGAAAAGAGGAAAAAAAGGAAGGAAGGAGGGAGGGCTGGAGGGATAAAGGGAGGGAGGGAGAGAGGGAAGGAGGGAGGAAGGGAAGGAAAAAGGGGAGGGAGGGAGGGAAGGAAAGGGGGAGGAGGGAGGGAGGGAAGGAAAGAGGGAAGGAGGGAGGGAGGGAAGCAGGAAGGAAGGAAAGGAGGGAAGGAGGGAGAGAGGGAGGGGAGAGAGAGAGAAGGAAAGGAAAAGGAAAAAGGAGAGAAAGAAAGGAGGGAGGGAGGGAATCTGGCTGCTGTGCTTTCATGTAGCACATAGGAAGAGTTCAATAAAGGGTGCTGGTGGCTGTCTGCATGCCCTTATTTCACACCGCAGCTTCCATCTTTGATGCCAGAGCAAGAGACATTTAAAGATGGTCATGACCAGGTGCAGTGGCTCATTCCTGTAATCCCAGTATTTTGGCAGACCAGGGTGGAAGGATCGCTTGAGCCCAAGAATTTGAGACCAGCCTGGGCAACACAGCGAGACCCTATATCTTA